GTTTTTGTTGTTGATCAATAAAGTTAGTTGATTAAAAAAATAAGATATTCAATACAATCATGAATGAATGAATATCGTGACACTTGATAATCTAAAAGCACTAGATAATTTTTTAAATGACTAATATTTTTTCCGTTTTTTTTACAGCTTGTTACATGTCATCAATAGAGGTCGTTATCAATCATAAAAATAAAACAAAAAAGTATTTAGCTTTTTACTTCCTTTCATTTGATAGTCATATATATATATTATTAAATATCTAATGAATGATGCAATCATACTCAAGAAAAAATTATGTAATTTTCTTTTTATTACATGAAGCATATCGAAGAAAAACTAAAGATTCCTAGCTACATTGAATACTCTTTTTAATTGTGTATTCAATAAAGAAATTCTATTATGTTTTTAAGTAATGAGCACATATACACAGTATAAACAATTCGAAATGCTTATTGAAAAAGTTTTTTCTTTTTATGACATAATCATCTAGAAAATATTTATCGTATTGTTGCCGATAATCTTAGAAAAAACTAATTATCGAGCTTGAGTAGTTTAAACAGGTATATACTAAGAAAAAAAGAAACAATAGGCAGCGTGTTCCATGAAAAAACTATCTTAACAACGGCTGAACGTATCGAGCTGTCCTTTGGTAGTTAAGGGTTTCTCGACGTGCTCTTGCTTTTGTCCAAAATACTCGGAAGTAGATTTTCTAGAAAACCGTAGTTTTGGAACCAATGATCGCGAAAGTCTTTTTGTTGTAATAGTCTATAATGATAGAGTAACCAATTCTGTACAAAATGAGATGTCTCTGAGCTCTCTACGGCTTTTTTTGACCGAGTTAGATAAATTTTAGTGAAAGGCAAAAGCCGTTTTTCCCAGAGGAAATAGCAGAAAAAATGGCTTTTGCCTTCCACTAAAATTGATGTAACTCGGCCAAAAAAAGTTGTAGAGAGCTCGGAGACATCTCATTTTGTGGAGAATCGGTTGCTCTATCAATATGGACTGTTAAAACAAAAAACGTTTCGCGACCATTGATTCCAAAACCACGATTTTCTAGAAACCCTACTTCCAAGCGTTTTGGACAAAAGTGTCCGCTAGAAAAAAGAAAGAGCATGTCGAGAAACCCTTAAGTACCAGAGGACAACTCGATACGTTAAACCATTCTTAAGATAGTCTATATCAACTTTCTCATGGAACACGCCTATTGAAAGCATTAGATCGAAAAATATTTCACATTCTACGTAAATAGTACAATGCTACAAAGTGATGAAATTACTCACATAGATGCATTTCACAAAAATTTTATCTAGAAGAAGCTATATCAATTGCTCTTAAAAGAGGTTTTTCTAAATGTAACGAAACTGAAGGATAGACTGTTTCATATTACTACTGCAGGATTTTAGTATTGATCAATCTTGACAAACTGGATAAATAGCACTAATACTATGTTCGATGTATGATGTTCACTACACTATTCTATCAGTCCATTGTATATAGAACACGAGCTTATATACAAAAGAGAAAGCAAGGAAAAGATTGATAGAGCATAGAATAACTAGGCAGCATGTATGGGTCATGAGGTCAGAATATTTAACTGCATAGCGACCGAATGCTCTCATATCAATGAACCAATAGAAGATGCACATAGCTCGTAACCTTTTGACTTTCAATCTCTTTGGTGTCAAATATTCTTTTACCAATGCTTACTAAACTTATCATGAATAACAACTCGTCGGAAATAGTCATAGCAATCCGGGAGATGTTTTTAAAATACTATAGAATCAATATTAACATGATAATTAGGTACAGTTTACGGAAGAGATTTTTGAGAAGTTTCTTGAAAACTATCGCAGAAGTAGTACGGTAGCCTTGTCTCTTGTAGAACCACGGCATAGGTCCACGAAAAATAAAAGTTATCCTGTTATCCTGTTTTACTTTTTTATAAATGATATTTAGTCTTTTAGTGCCTTTAGTCCCTTTAGTCCTTTTAGTCCTTTTAGTCCCTTTAGTCCTTTTAGTCCCTTTAGTCCCTTTAGTCCCCTTAGTCCCTTTAGTCCTTTTAGTCCCTTTAATCCCTTTAATCCCTTTAGTCCTTTTAGTCTCTTTAGTCCCTTTAGTCCCTTGAGCTCGTAAGGGATGTTAACTACATACCACAACATTCCAGTTGTGTTCGTTTCTATTTTTGGTTTAGTCAAATTTTATGTCTTCGAATGATTACAAAGATTTATGATGGAATTTTAAAAAAACAAGTTATTTTTTTATTCGTGAATGTTAGGATCGGACATCTATATGTATCAGAGGTGTCCACAGGGCACATTTTTTCGCCCTGCCCTGCCCTGCCCTGTTCTAGGTGTCTGTTCCAACCTGCCCTGCCCTGAAAAAAAATTATTTGAAAATTTTCTTCCTGCCCTGTCCTGCCCTGCAGTACAGGACAGGACAGGGCAGGACAGGATGCCCTGCAGATCAAAAAGAATATTTTAATGCTGATATTTAACCCTAATACTACCAAGTGAGTCAAAAATGACTCATACTTAAAAAGTTTGAAATACAGCGGAAATATTTTGTTATTTTCTGATTTTCAACAGCAAGTAGTATTTCACACGCATTAAATTGTAATGTTGGGTCTAAAAAAGATACTCATCGCCTCTTTTTGAATCAATATAAGCCTTTGACGCGATATTAAGTCACCATTATGAAACAAACACAAAGCACTGAAAAAACAAGTTAAATTTATTTTTTAATCTGAAATCGAATGAATAATCTATTATTCTAATTGGATAGCTCAGATCTTTGAGAAAAGTGCTTCTTCTATGGATTGAGAACATCCAATTAGAATAGAAAATGATTCATTCAAGTTCAAGTTCAGAATTTAACTTGTTTCACCTTTCTGTTATATGTTTGCTACATAATAAAGACATCATCGCATCAACGGCTAATATTGACTCAAGAAGGAGTGATAAATATCTTTTTAAATCCGACATTATTATTTTATTCGTGAGAAATGCTACTTGCTTTTGAAACTCACGAAATAATAAAATATTTCCACTGTATTTTCAAATTTTTTAGTATGGATAAAAAAATGGTCCACTAGGTAGTACTAGGGTTAAACCAGGACGCCAAATGTTTTATTGATTCATTATTTAAAATACGATTTTTTTCCTCTTGCTAAAAGTCGTAGTAATTGATTAGATCTACATGATGAAATGATGACAGCAGTAGAAATGCTTGGGAAAGTCTAAATAAAAACATCATTTTCATGAATAGAAGAGAAAGAGGAAATATCGAGATATAAATCAGCAGATGATGATGGTGATGGTAATATCATTATTTTATTTTTATTTGGCGTACTAAAGTAACAAGAAGATACTGACAATTGCAAATATATGTTCATTGTTATGATTTCATTATTCTTTTCTTTTCTTTGTAGTACTTTGATTGAACTTTATGCTCATTATAGCGATATAGTGGTTTTATGTACTAGTTGATAACGCTATCTGTGTTGTTTATCCCTTTTTTCACATTTTCGAGACATAAAAATACTCGTATTTCTAAACAAAAGTTAGTATATGTGAAATTTTCAGGGCATGGAGATATCGCCCTGCCCTGCCCTGTTGTTTTGCCTTCTTTGCCCTGCCCTGTAGCAGGGCAGGGCATTTTATAAAATCGGCGCCCTGCCCTGTCACAGGGCAGGGCAGGATACAGGGCAGGACAGGTTTGCCCTGCCCTGTGGACACCTCTGATATGTATATATATAGGGTGTGGGTACCTATGTAACCGTCTGTTTAACCCAAATCCACCCTCACCCCATCCAAACCCACACACCCACATCCTATATATATATATACATATAGATGTCCGATCCTAACATTCACTAATAAAAAATAAATTGTTTTTTTTAAATTCCATCATAAAGCTTTGTAATCATTCGAAGATATAAAATTTGACTAAACTAAAAATAGACATGAATACAACTGAAATGATGTGATGTGTAGTTAACGTCTCTTACGAGCTGAAGGGACTAAAGGGACTAAAGGCACTAAAAGGACTAAAAGGACTAAAGGCACTAAAAGGACTAGATGGACTAAAAGGCACTAAAAGGACTAAAGGGACTAAAGGGAGTACATAGTGTATAGAAAAGTAAAACAGGATAAGAGTAAATTCTCGTGGACCCTCAACCACGGTGCTGCAGCGACAGGTTTTTAACTATAACTAAACATTTATGTGACTAGTAGATATTGGGTTTTGTATAATTTCTTTTTTATTTTTCTATAAGCTGTCTTTATCTTAATATTAGTATACTTTCACCTGAATGTATTTTGCTGTAAGACTATAAAGATAGGACAGAAAAAAAAACATCATAAACTTCGTCTTTAAAATTGATTACCTTTGATAAGTTTTTTATAATCCTCTTGACATCATGTAATCAAAAGTAAATGAAAATAACGATATTTTTACGAAATCGTTTTTTTCTCGTTTACTAGTAAATTTCATGCAGGACACTTATAAAAATTTATCTTTTTTTTTAATCGTTCAAGTTTCTTCATATTTATAATGGCTATCTATACATGATACTACTCGTTCGACACACTACCATAGATAAACATAGTTCTCGTTCATACTAAGAAGAATCCAGAACAGATTATTCATTTTCTACATTTTCGAATCATTGATAGAATTTATAAAATATTGACTGACAAGATTTTCTTTAATATACCCGAGATCTTCCAGAAGATCTATATTAAAATCAATATAGTTGATCAATATGTATTTTAATACATTTAGAATGAAAATCTGTTTTAACAAAAACTTGTAGAATCATCTAATCTATTCAAAGAGTTATAATTATTTTTAAGTTAAACATCTTTAATTTTCCATACAATACGTCGAAAATATAACAAAATGTTTGATATAAAAGAATTTTAAATTTTTAAAATAAGCAGAAGTCTGAAATTCATTTTAATTTTTATTAAATTCATGTATGTATTTAAAAGATAGTTAAATTACTTAATTGAATAAGATTTCGTATTTAAAGCATCTTTTCCTTGATCTTAATACATTCTAATCTAATATTTTTTAGAAAAAAAAGAAAACCATGCAAAATATTTTTATTTCATTCATTTAATATAAATTAAAAACGATAAGTTTGAATAAGATCATTATGTATATATATATATATATATATATATAAACAAAACTTATAATAATATATGATGCTTGTCGATTTGATATAATAACTTCAATAGTACCAATTGTTTCATTAAAATATGTATAAACATATATACCCATTTTTCCACCTATAATTAACATTGATAAAGCCATAAGTATTGCACCACTAATTAATATAAAACGTCGACCTAATTTATCAATAAATAAAATAGCTGGTATTGTTGCTAATATAAGTACACAACCATTAATACCTGTTGCAAGTTATGATGCACGTTGATCATTTAAATCAGCTTGTTTAAAAATTTCTGGTGCATAATACATAACAGAATTAATACCAGTAAGCTTTGTTGTAAAATTTGTATACTTATACCAAGTATTAAACGACGACGTAATGGTGGATAAAAAAATTGTGAATAAGATTTAATTGATTGTTTACGTTCAAAATTAATTTCATTCTTAATATCATTATATTCATTAAGTACATCAATTGATGATGATGATGAACGTATTTTTATTAAAATACCTAATGCTTCATTATCATGATTTTGAGTCATTAACCAACGTGATGAAAATGGAAAAAATAAAATACCTATAGCAAGAATTAATGCTGGTACTATTTGTAATGCTAATGGTATACGCCATGCAGCACTACTACCTAAAAAATATATATTTGTACCTAAAATAATAAATAATATTAAAATTCATAAATTTTTTTATAATTATTTACTATAATTAATCCAAAAACTAATTCCAATACCAATTGTTATAGACCATTGTTGTAGTGATACAAGACGTCCACGAATTTTTTTTGTAGCTATTTCTGATTGATATACAGGTACAAGCATTGATAATGCACCAACCGATATTCCTATAATATCATTAGAACAAAAAAAAAAATTTTTTTTTTGAAAAGCTTTATCAAAAGAAAACAAAATACACCACAAGATGCAGCGCGAAAAGCTCTACAATCTTCATAGTAAAGCTTATTGTAATTGTTTTCAAAAGAAGGAAAATTATCTGCGACCAATTTTTGCAATGCTCAGAATTTGACCCCTCAAAACTTTGTTCATTTTGATAACGAAAAGTGCAACTATACAGTAAGTGATCTTATGTAAATTGTAGAGCTTTCACGCTGCATCTTATAGTATATTTTAGTTCGTTAATACAATGTATTGAGGGATTGAAAACTAACCTGATTCATCCGTTGTAATCCAGTACTACAAGCACAAATGATAATGAAGAAGTCTTATCGAAAATTTATTATCACGATATTAGCTGAAGTATGATCAAATAGCATAGAAAAATAGAGCATTCTTTTCTCTATTAGACTGTATAGAAAGAAGGTTTTTTAAAGGTTACTCTATGGTTAAGTAACATCGGGCTACGAACTTTTGGTACGCCCTAAGTATTAGTTTTATATCCAAAACTATGGTAACATGAAAACGATCTGATTAATAAGCAGTATGTCAAAACAAATGAAGTGATATAAACATATCAAGCATATTAATGATCATTCTATGATGATCATTTTCGAGAACATTGTTAATATTTATCAGCTAAAGTTGATTATGATATTGTTCAAGTTCATGGCAAAGTTCTCGAAAAAACTGACAAACTCAAAAAATCAAATGAAACACAGTCATAACTTTTCTCCAAGATCGATTGATGGAAAATGGCAATAATTGCCAACGTTCGTCATCAAATCATTCAATTGTTCGAATAAGAACATATTGCTTTGACGTATATTTGTAAGAGAGGCGATCATTTATATCTTTTGAAAATGAGTAGGCCTAATCAAGTTAGTTTCATACTCAAAATATTAGGCTTTTATATGTTTGCCTAAGAAAACTAACTGAGACGTACTTTTTCAATTTTAAGCTTAATAATTAAATCTCGCATATGAGTCATTACACGTAATAAATGATGGTCAGATCTGGTCAAATTTTTGCGCAATATAACATATTGTTGTAAAGAGAAAAGTTTTAGGAATTTCGATACATTCCGTTAAAAAAAATTATTGAACATTCGATTTGTCTATTGATGTTTTACAAAAATTTCTAGACTCGAATTCAATGAGTTCTACTCAGATCGTTACATATATTAATAAAGAACATAAAAATTGGTGATATCTATATAAATTCAATGAAAATAAACGACTGATTAGAAAAAAACAAATCACAAGTGTAAATATATTAATTACATTCTGCCATAAAATATAAAGAATTTATATTTACAAATTTGATTTCATAAAAGATGCTTTAACTTCAATTAAAATACATTCAATCAAATCTGCTAATACTTGTGCATTCGTATCCGCACAATTTCGATAAGTAGCAACGAAAAATGTTATTCTACAATACATAATTATATCACTATACTCATGTTTATTTTTTCTTATGCATTATTACCAATTCAATAAAAAATATTCACAATCATTTAAACATATTGATGCTATTTCAGCTAATGATGTATTGAGACTAAGATAAATTGTAGATAAAATAAAATTGTTTCGTCTAAAATCTTTTTGTTATTCATGATGAATCATTTGTAACTTCGTCTAATTTTCCTGTTAAATATGCTGTCATACTCAATCCAAGTAAATGTCGATCACAACCTTGGTTTTTCCCATGCTTCAATTATTAATTCTCGATGACGATTCATAGCAATAAGAAACAATCTTCATTCAATTTCCTATGTATGTCATTTACATTACATGAATCATAAATAAATAAAAGTTCTCGAACAATTATATTTATAATAACAATCAGATAGTATTAATCATGAATTCATCTTTTCAAGAGAGTCATATGATCACTGATTTGTATTGGAATAATAGATTCATAACCTGAGTGCTGAATATTGAAGTTATTAGAAATGCATATTTGTGTATGTTATTAGAAAGCTATATACTTCGACATTTGTTGCAATAAGATCATTCCGTGTAACAATACAAACATTCGACCGATCAAACTAATGTGACGGAGAATTTTTCAACATGCAAATACGAGCAAGTTAAATATTCATATTTAATTTTTTCCTTATATAATAGAACTAACGTGCGTCTTAGAAAAAAGTCGCATTAAATCCCATGAGGAAAGATTCCCAGATGCCTGAGCGCTTTCAAGTATGAACTCAGTGCATCTTATAGATTTTAGTGAGCTGCATCTATGGTAAAAAATTAAGTTCGTGCTTATGGCTTGTTTTGAAGGAGATCGGTCATTCATACTTTTACAACTGTAAGAGCTGTTTAATTAGGAAAAAAGGTACTATCTCAACTAGTGTAAGTTGAAACGAGCTAAGATTTTTCTCACAGATACTTGCGTACACATATGAAAGATAATATGAAAGTCTGAGCTCAAACAATCTTAGAAAGTTCGAATTATTAGTTTTAAAAAAAAAATATTAATATCGATCTATCTGTCATTAATTATACTATTTCGCAGATTTTTAAGATATATTCTGGTTGAAACGTTTAGAATCTCGAGCATTTATGTTGTGCTACAATTTTATATACTTTATAAGTGTAGTTGAGCTCAAACTTTCATATTATCTTCCATATGTGTACAAGTATTTGTGACAAAACTCTTAACTTGTTTCAACTTATACTTGTTGAGATAGTACTTTTTTCCTAATAAAACAGCTCATACAGTTGTAAAAGTAAGAATGGTCGATCTCCTTCAAAACAAGCCATAAGCACGAACTTATTTTTTTACCATAGATACAGTTTACTAAGATTTACAAGATGTGCTAAGTCTCGACTTGAAAGCGCTCAGGCACCTTGAATGACTATAAGTACTTTCCCACAAACAGCTTTCTATTCCAGACATTTTTTCATTCAAAAAGGCGATTTTTTAAAAATGAAGATTTAGGAGAAACGGAAGAATGAAGTGGCCTGTAGAAAACCTGCAATCGTACCCGATAGGTATATTTATTGACTAAGGTTTTGTTTTAGACTATACCAATGCGAAAATTCGAGTATTAACACATTTTTGTTTGTCCTAATTTCTTTTTGCGTAGGTTGTTCTTTTTCTACGATTTCGAGCATTTAAGATAAATCGAAATAGTCGTTTGAATAGCTCATGAAGTTCTCTACCATATATCCATGAAGACTGCGTAAAACTTAACTTCTAGGAGTGGAATTTTAAAGAGCACAAAGTTCTGAAAAAGAAATGAGGGGCTGCTGTATTTTACAGAATCTTCTTTGTAAAAGTTCTCGAGATTACAAAGCAATATTTATCATAGCATTGCTAAAAATTAACTTTTTGTTAATCTTTTATTAAGACTTGAAAAAAAAAGCAGACTCTCATATAAATAATTGTACGTACAATATTTAATAGGAATTACTATCCATGTCAAAATGTAATATGTTCTACTATTTGTTTTTTGAATAACTTTTACTAGAAACATCATAGAGACCTACGACTTCCATTATTCAAAAGAGAAAACTTAGGAACATCGAAGGCTTATAAGACTTTTGCTGAAACTCTCGATTTCAGCCAATTGACTTATAATCATCTAGAAAAGCAGTTAAACATGGGTAATTCGCCATCTTGAGTCGAATGGTGATATATTATTTTGATACTATCTATGATTTGGCACATTTATTTTTCAAACTTTATATATTCTTAAATAAGTAAAAATAAAATTTAAACATGATTTTCAGTTATTTGCATGGGTCTTTGCCTTGATCTTGCTCGTCTATTTCTTGTTTGACGTTGATTTAATGACGATGGTGATTGTTGTTGATGTCGTCTTGCTCTTTGAACTTGTAGAGAATGAGTTGATGCTGATTCTAAAAGAGTTATATCATCATTATTAGCTATATTCCAAGTAGCAACTGTTGCCATTTGTTCATTTATTGGTTGTTGTGAATGTCCTAAACGATTTCTTATAGTTGCTAATGTTGATGTTGAAGAATTATATCGTGGGATAATATTAAAAAGACATAAAAATTGATTAAATGGCCATCGTGATAATAATTGTTGACCAGCTGATGAATAACGTGTATCAAAACCAGCAATAATTAATGGATCAAGAAGAATATTTAAAGATTTTGTTACTTGTATAGCATCTTTAAGTGGATGAGTTTTTGTATAAAGCATTATTATTTCAGCAGGTAACCAAAAAACAGCAAAATTAAGAAATAAAAAAAGTATTTGGGATATAAGATTTTTTCTTATATGTACATGACGTTTAAATACTCGAGTAAAACGTTGTTGCATGCGTACTAAATCAACATAAATTCTTATATAACAAGCGAATGATATTGATATTGGTAAAAGAAATATATTACCTAAAAATGAAATATTAGATCAAAGAAATATTTAATCATTATTCTAATAAGAAAAAAAACTTATACAGTAATGTGAATATTAAAATAATAAATACTTAAAAGTTCTTATTAATGAAAATTTTATATGTTTAAGAAATCAATCATGAACTTTTCATACATTAAAAAGAATAATAAGATTATTAAGGGAAAAGGACATACAACATTAAATATGAGTGTTTGTTTTTATTGTGACGTAATAGAATAGTATCTTTTATAGTATAGATATTTGAATGAGTGCTTAATCAATATATATCATGCTAATTAATGACGTCATGAACAAAATTCTCAATGAGATTAGGCTATTGGACAAACTATAACTTTTCTAATATCTTCTATCCTGACATATACAATATTCGTAATTCTTTTATGTATCAAAAGCGGATTTTGTTCATATAGTTACATCCCTAGAAAAGAAATACTAATTGCACAATTAACTAGTCTTATTAAGAACTTTACTCATACAAACAAACACAATTCTATGAACTATGTCGATTGATAAATGGTAATGTAGTAAATCTATTCAATATAAGTTTCAATTGTCAAAAAAAAAAGAACTGTTGACTCTATACAATGGAAGCTGTCGTCTATCTAGAACTGAGTTGTTTAAATATTTTTAAAGAAACTAGTCATCAGTTCTTCGATGACTGACTATCTCAAATCGAAAAATTCTTCTTATTTACACTAAGAATAGTTTCATTATATTCTATATTAGAATTTCACTGAATGTATTCTTTTAAAATATCGTTTCATTTTTCTCGTTTTTTTTTTTTACCAAGTCTATAAAATATATAAATAGCTTCAACATTTGATTTATATGTATACGAAATTTGACATTGATTTGTTATTTCATGTTGTGTTATTTTTAAAATATTAAAATGTGCTAATAAAAAAGTTGGAATAACTGAGGTTATTATTGGCATAATCCATAGTGCAATCATCATTATAATATATGTCTTATTTGATTGTGTTAATTGCATGTTTAAATTAACAAAATGACGGCGACGATAAATAGATATAGCTGTTAAACTGTATGCCATCAGTACAGTTAAATATAATGGTACATAAACTTGTAATTGACAATAAAAACGGCCAGCCAAAGATTCAAGTGCTAATTGACCTGTTGTATGTATAATAACATAAGCAAGTTCATTTAAAAGATTAAGAAAATCAACAAGTAAATAATTTGATGTCCATATAAGACTACGCATACGTTGTTGACGTCGTTGACTACGACTACGTGAACCACCACCAGATATAGCTGTATTTCTATTTATACGTAATACAGTTAATTGAATAAAAAGTATAAAAGCAATTGCATATAATGGTAATGTTAAACTTAATAAACATAATTCAGCAATACGCATAATAATATGAAATTGTGTTTTTAATATAAAATATTTATTTAATAATGATGATGATGATGATGTTAATAATGGTTGACGTAAATAAGGAAATATTCTTGTTGTATTAAATAAACGAAAAAATATACTTGTCGTTGTTTTTATTGTTGTTGTTGTTGTTATTATTGTTGTTATTGTACTATTAATTATTTCATTATCATTTATTTCTTCAACTATTAATGATGTTAAATTAATATCACGAATATTCGATGTTATATTCATATCATTTCCGAAAAAAAACAAAACAAAATAAAAAAGAAAAAAACTACAGAACAAAAAAAATTTGAGTGTTCTTCGACGGCCAAGAACCACAATGATAAGCATTGTTCTTTTTACTATGTATATGTTGTATGTGTTCTTGGAATTCATCATTGTTTAATAAGAAAAAAGAAATAACAACATACTCTATTTTATTCGTTCTTCTAGTAATGTTGAAATTGTAACAAACGCGCAGTTTACTTTTTCCTCTCATGTTTATTACGTCAGGATACTAATCGATTAAATGTTCTTAAAATAGTAACTTGTGAACCTTGAGGAAAAATAAAAAAAAGAAGGTCAGATCATTTGTTGAATAAATTTTCTTATTTGATACATTTAGAGAAGTATTTTTTTTAAATATCAAAAGTTCAATAGGAAATTTTATATTCATTGAGAATTTTCATAAAAGAAAATCTTGAATAATATGTTTGAAAAAAATATAAGATTAATAAATACTTCAAATCTAGAATGCTTTTCGTATGATAAAAATATCTAATAGTTTAATCAAATAATCAGATTTATTAATAGATATGAAGAAAAATGAACACAACAAAAATAAATAAACATATTAATTATAAAATTTAAATATTGAATACATATGTTTCGTTATTTATAGATTATTACATAATGTTTTGTTTTTCATTGAAAATCTTATATTTGTAAATCAGAAA